TGATTTGGCACTAATAATCAAAAGAAAAAAAAATATATTTAAAGGAAACCTAAGCTTATGTGTACAGAAAGACGTAAGCGTGAATTAATAAACACGCCTTAAGAAGAGGAACGTGAAACCATTTTTAGATGTTAACGGTAAAAAAGTAAAAAAAAATGATTGATTTTTATTATTAACTAGCGTACCTGCCCCCCGCGCGTTGCCGCGGGGATAGAAGAAAGTCTGACGAAATATATTAGAAGGATATCACCAATGCATTACCAATCATATGTTCTTAAACGCGTGTCCTTCTTTTCTAAAACTGTGTTATTAAAAAGTATACAATGCTTGCGCTTGGATAATAAATATCGGAACACGGGTTTTCCTACACTACTGCATGAAAACCTTGAGTGTACATCTATCACTCACCAAAATAATGAGGTAGAACACACTTCGGTGACCGCCCATGTGTCAGAGACGTATAGGGGCGCTCTCAGTAGCACCCCCCCCCCGATTGCAATACCACATAGGCGCAGCGTAGAGCCCCTGGCTCCTTAAAACTAACAGGCGCCATTGAAAACCTAGAGTGCCAAATATCATCCTGTTAACAAGGATGCAGATTTCGTCTCTCGCTAAAGTGACTCAAATGATTTTTTCTTTAACACGTAAAAAAATATTTGACGTGTTTTAAACATCTGTGTGACTGATGCAATATTTTAGCGTTACTAATGGTCTATTATTATTTGCTCGATCTCAATTTCTGATCGGATTGGCTAAAAATAGATGCTAATTGCATCATTCGCAAAGTGACGAAACTGTTTGGATTCTTTTACGGACAAAAAGAAATATCCCAGTTAATAATCTAACCTGGTTATTTTTTTCTGATTATTAAACATAAAACGTATTAGATGGCCCTTAGCGGTCAATGTGAGCCTTTGGGGGCAGAAAATTAAATTGTTATTCGCAGCCAAAAGGCACCCTACCAGGGTGCCGGCGGATACGCCTGATTCAATTTAGTGAGCGTTTGTAACGCCCCATCCTATCCATTTTCTATCACACTGTTTAGAACAAACGTAGTCGCCATAGCCCTAACGGGAAAGTCCAGGGCGCCAAATTGCATCCTGCCGGGGTCCGCCCATGCAAAATTAAATCCCCCTACCACCCACCCACCCACCCTCACCTCCACCTCAGAAACCTTCTCAGGGGTATTCATCAATTCCCTGAAGTTTTATGGCACCTGGATAAACTGTGTCGAACCGCAATCGTCTTTTATTTTTATATACAGTATATAGAGAAAAATCGCACCATTCCGTGGCGCCGCCCTTGCGAAATTAAGAAAATATTTATTGAGAGGCCTTCCAGATAGTGTTTTAATCAACTCCCCACGGTCTCTTGCCTATCGGATGAACGGTGTCAAACCAAAATCGACTTTTATTTTTATACAACGTACATAGAGAACAATAATTTTTGCACCTCCCGTGGCACCGCCCTTGCGAAATAAAAAAATAATTATTTGCAGATCCCTTCCAGCTAGAGTTCTAATCTACTCCCCAAAGTCTCTTGCCTATCGGATAAACGGTGTCAAACCAAAATCGACTTTTATTTTTATATACTGTATATAGAGACAAAAAAAATCGCGCACTGCCGGGGCGCCACATCTGCGAATTTGAATTTTTTCCCTTAGAAACTTCTCCAAAAATGTTCTCAACAACTTTGCAAAGTTTCACGGCTATGTGATGAGAGGTGTAGTAATTCATAAAAGACAAAAACACACAAACAGACAGACACACACATATATTGCATAATATATATATATATATATATATATATATATATATATATATATATATATATATATATATATATATATATATATATATATATATATATATATATATACACACAATTATATTTAAACAGAAACATAAAGACCTTTTATGTGACTTTAACTTTATTGTAGAAAACAACAATAATAACTGATTAAAAACTTTGAAAAATAAAAAAAAATTAAACACCAGGATCAGAAAACTCAGTAATAATTCCTAGCAAACCTGACAGTTTAACACTCAAAGGTAAAGAAATGGCTGCTACCAAAGTATTTTACATTCCTTCATACACTGATTTTAATTTTAAACTAACATTTTACAAAAGCATGTGTTGACATTTGAACATAAAACTATTTCAACATATCCATTTTTTCTAACTGCTTTGATCTACAAAGTATGTTTTTGCCAAACTACAATGTTAAAAAGATTTATTAATACTCAAAATCTAATATGTACATGTAATCCACACAAATTACTTGAAGTATATAACCCATAAAAAAGCATATTGAAACTGTTGTAATACAGTAATCAGAAATATAGTCATTTTAAAAAAAATAAAGTTAAGCATCCATTTTAACAAGTGTTTTTGCCACACTGCAATTATATTAGGTATTCAAACTCAAAACCTAATCTATACATTTTATTAAGGCATGTTACATAAAGCATGAAATAAGGAATCCAATGTAATATTTCTTGTAGCCTACTACACTGTTTATAATTACATTAAATTTATTATGAAACAGTTAAGATTCCCTTTTAAACCTATCAGTCCTTGGGGCAGTTGAAGTAGACCTCACCTGTTTCTAGAGTTTAGTAATATTTCATTTTTATTATGTTTAAATTAAAAAAAAAATTATACTTTATGTGACATTGGGTTAAATCCTGGTCATAGTTAAACCTTGTTTGTTTACTTTACCATTTGCCTAAGTAAGAGAAAAATGCATTTTTTGGTTATTTTTTTTTCAAGCTGTATTAAATTACTAGATAAATTGCTAACAAATAATACAGAAAATCTGTAGAAAATTAATACAAAAACAACAGAACAAAATGTTTATAATATGTTTTAATTATACTACACTTGAATTTTAAACATGCAATTTCCTCTCAGAAAGATTTTGGTGATATCTATAAATGCCTAAAGCGTATTAAAAGTTAATAAAATATGCATAAAAACAACAATTAAAAGACCTTCATTCTTTTTGTTTTTATAATTTAATGCCTAGCTTTAATTCAAATAATAAAGCAATTGTTTTCAATAATCATAAGCAGGCTCCAAAATATAGCAAGATTATTTTGATTGGAGTGTGTTCGTTATTAGATACTACACTTAAAAGCAAGTAATATGTTTGTAAATTAACCAAACAAAAAGGAATTTTAATGAAAAGGGTGTCCAGAAAAATGTGCAATCAGAAGATGCAACAGAAAATTTCACACAAAAAAGTTTGCAAGGAATATTTTTTTTAATAAAAGTGGATAATGCAAAGACTTATGCAAAGAATGACCATATGCACATTGAGGAATAATAAAACACTTTTCCACAAAATTAGACAAAATAAAAGTTTAAAAAAAAATGAGTTTGAATATTTGCACAGTTTTCTGTTTGCACAATTTCCTGGTGAACTGATAAAAATGCATTATTTTAAGGATTTATAGAAAATGTTTAAAAGAATGACAGTGAATTAGATAATATAAGGAAGCGAATTTGACATGTCATAAAACATATCTGACTTTCAAACTCTAAGCAGTAATTTAAACAGTTACCATACAGTGCTGGCTAAGTAGTTAAAAAAATTGTATAGAATAACATTTTAAAAATTATTTTAGTTGACTTTTTTATGGTCTTTAAAGTTCAAGATGCCAGTGATAGTTTCTGAGTTACTATAATGATTTTGAACATTTTACAGAAGGAACTAATTTTAGTCCAAGTTAGTAATCATTGTAAATTAAGCTTAAGTCAACAAACTTATTTCAGTTTTTAAAATAAAAATTATAAAGAATAATGTATTTGTTTTACATAATGTTTGGTTAATTTTTAAATTATTTTCCAAAAAACTTTTCAATTGAACTTTAAATCAGATCTTTTTTAAAACATGATTAAAATACATAATAAACGTACGTTCATAATATTACATGTTATTTAACTTAAAGAAACTAAAAATCATATACGGTTTAATAATATAATATTTATATTCAAGCAAGCATGCATTAACATCTCAATGTCAGGATTAGTTTAGGGTGACTGGATTGCATGTTGAATGGGTTCACTTAATACTTGTAACTTCGTCTAAACTAATATATTTAAATAATAAATACAATAGAATATGGGTTAGTAACATCCATTCTACCTATTCCATTTAATCCTTTTGAAATGTTATGCAATTATTTTAATTTTATAGAGTGAAAGATTAAGTTCAGAAGAGACAGACTATGGGGCACCTTATACACATACAGTAAATTTGTTTATGACCTTTGCATATACAGTCTTTCTTCCAGACTTTTTTCTTTGGGTGGGCACTAGATTGACATTTCCAGGGGGGGGGGCATATAAGTGAGCTGTGTTTTACTTACACAAATTAAGCCACATGCCTAATTGGGACAACTCTGAGTGAGACATTCGATTGCCTTAAGACAGTATTCAGACCTATAGATATTCGGGTTACTCATCGCCTTGTCAACCACACTGTCTGTTTTATTGAACACAGATTAAAATTAAAAAAAGGAAATTGCAGCTAGTTTCTGGTAATCCTTGGAATAGTTGCTTAATTTTAACTTCTAAATTTTTAGACAAAAACAACAAAAATCTGATAAGGGCAAAAGGTACACAATATTATGACACAACACGCGCTTGAGTTGAAACCCCAGGGAAGGGGAAAGACAGAGTTAAGATTATGGTTGACACCATTTGCTCTACTAGGAGTAGAGAGGACTAAATGAAAAATATCATATAAGAAAATCTATAGAAAAGCAGAGTATGTCATCTATTTAATACTTTTACTAAAATTTAAGAAGCAACTAACACTTTCTCTAAAGTTATTTGATTAGTGGTACATCAACTTTTAAAGATTGTTTATTTTTTGCTTCTTAATGCATACTCATATAAAAGTTTTTTTAAAATTAATTTTGTTTTTATTTGCATGTCCACCTAAACATATTAAAAAAATAATTTTACAGCATTTTTTATTATCATGCCTATTCTTAGACTTCTCTGAGAGATTTATTTTCATCTGGTTGATCATCAGGTCTGTTTGTATTGAAATTATGAGTGAAATCAGTAAGTCCCTCAGAACTGTGCCTTTCACTTCTAATTGAAAAAAAGAATCTATATATATTTATATAAAGTAATGCATGTGTGTCTGTGTGTTTGTCTTTTATGCATTCCTACACCTCTCATCACATCGCCGTGAAACTTTGGGAAGTTGTTGTGAATATTTCTGGGGAGGTTTCTGCAAAAAATAAAATTCAAATTTGCAGGGGTGGCGCCCCGGTAGGGAGCTATTTGTTTTTTCTCTATGTGCGGTATATAAAAATAAGAGTCAATTTTGGTTTGAAACCGTTCATCAGATAGACATGAGACTTTGGGGAACTAATTAGAACACTCCAGTAGTGGTTTCTGTAAAACAATATTTTTTTTTTTTTATTTCGCAAGAGCGGCGCCGGGAGGTTGCGATTCTGCTCTATATACGGTATATAAATATATATTTTAAAAAATGAAAGTGCGCCCTGCATAGTGGGTAAGCGGTACTACTGAATTCAGCATTAAAACTTTAACAGGCGCAACTGTCGGCCCCCCGTAGATTGCACGACCTGAAGTGCCCTGGGCTCCCCTGAGAACACTATGGCGCCTATGTTCATTAAAAAAGGCTATACACTAAAGACCCGATGGGCAACAATAATCATTGACTATATTGAGCCAGGCACATCCCCTGGCGCCCCTGCAGGGTTCAATTTGGCGACCTGGGCTTTCCCAGTTAAATATATATCAAAGTTCTATTGGCTAGGTTACTTACTTTTCCAATCTCTTTATACGCTTTGTTTCTTTTTTTCCTGAACAAAAATTATAATTTAAACAATTTAAGTAATACTACATAAATAGATATATTTAAAAAATGAGTCAGATTATTAACAAGTTATAAGTTCTCTTAACACTTTTATCAGAATAATGCAGCAGAAATTGACCTATAGGTGCAGGCTACAATATTACTTATACTCCAACAACTATTAATCATTAAGAATCAAACTCCTATTTATTCTAAAGAAAAATGTCAACACATTTTATTAATTATTTTTTTTTCTGTTTAAATTTGTAAAGTCCAAATAAACAATGAGTTTCTTTTAAGAAACTGAAGTAAGAAATCATGATATTGGAAGAATCTGTAAAATGTCATTAAAATCAATTTTAAAAAAGGTAGATTTTTTTCTTCTACCTTATTGTCCATAAAATTTTTCCAATAGCTTAAGTACAATATCATTAGATCTTAAACTGGGTTAAGAGGACAAGAATAACTTGTCAACAGACGTTTTTTAAAGTATGATAATTAATTATGAGCATAATTGTTGCTAATTATTTACTTTATCACAACAAAAGCTAGCTGTTCTCAAATGTGGATACTCATTTTACTCTCCTCAAAACAATTATTCTGTCCAAAATAATAGACTCTAGTGTGTCCTTATTTAAACTGTGACAGCTCTTGTCCTGCATTATCTTAAGAATAATAATGCAGGTACGAAAAGTAGCTGTATTTTGATTTTTTTTTTAAAATGTTTAATTTTGATAAAAAGGTTGGTAGAAGGCAATGTATCAATATCATATTTTTAAATATTCAAATATCCATGGGGTTCAAGACTACTCTAGCAAGCTATAGTGCATTCCTGAAGATGTTGATTTTTTGAACAAAATGCTTTTGCAGACAATCTGAAGTTTCGGGAATAACTATCCATTATCACACATCATGACAAGAAGCTAGTCTTCCCATGAACCCCCTAAAATGATGTCAAACAGGCCTACAGCAAAATTAGAATTTTAGTTTTTTAAAACAGTGATTTCTTACTAAAATATTTACACAGGTCAATCAACATACAGTTATATACTGATACATTTAAAAAAATTGATTAACAAAAAGTTCTTTGAAAATGTAAAGTAACAGTTAAAATTCATATTACAACATTACATTTGAATAATGTTAAAGAGTGAAAAACCTTTTCAGAATCTCACCCCTACACTTTGTAACACATCAAACAAGTTCAAATTCCCCTCTCAGGGATTATTTGTGAACTATTGAATATTTATTTTCTTGAGATACACTAAGTTAAGTACAGCAAAAACCATTACATTTGTCCCTAATTAGTAATTAAGTTATCATCGAGGAAGGTCTATAAATGTGAATTCATTTTATAAAGAATATTTCTCTAGAAAGCTAAAGTTTTTCCTGTTTAATAGATGCTAGTGTTGGTATAAAAACTCAGATAATAGAGACTATTTTAAAAACATAAATCACTTTGCATTTGCCTAACATAAAACTTTTAAAAGTTTTAGACATGTGTTAAGTACACATTTTAAGGGCATTGGCATGTGATCAGTACCAAATTAACCGAAATGCTTAAGTCTGAACCCAATGCTAACATATTTAACACATTGTAATAACTCAAAAAGTTAAGTCTAAAAATTAAAAAAAATGGCTTAAAATTTTCTGCCGTTGCCATTGCAGACAAAGTGAATAGTATGTTATCTTTAAGGATAAAAAAGCTGAAAATATTTGTTATTTTAAATTATTTTTTAAACATAATCTCAAAACACATTACATGTTAATTGACCCAATTTGCTCAGAAAAACTTTTGATGAGATGGTCAAACATTACAACTAGCAATTGAATGTGTATATGTGTGCATACATGTCTGTGTCTAATATTAGTTTCCGCTCACCTTTCAATGAAGTGTTCATCTTTTTTTTTAATATTATTATTATTATTATTATTATCATTATTATTATTGTTGCTGTTGTTAGAATTATCACTAGAGGTAGATCAAAACCTGTGTTCCACTCTGTATCATCTGCTGGTCCTGTAAAACAAAAATGTACTTTAAACACACTTTAAAATAAAATACACATCAATGTGTTGTATACAAGTAACAGTTAAATATTTCCAAGTGTATGTTCAGTTTAGTGGTAGTTGGCTGTCAAATAAGCCAATCTCAAGAAAATGTAAAATTATTTGAGTCAATTGAGACAATTAATGCTCAGATAAGTAGGCTAGAAATAATCTATTGCCATCAATCTGTAGAAGTGATTTAAGAACAAGTTTTAATATCTGAAACAAACACTAACTTAATTTGGGGCTGTGATTTTTATGGAACCATAAGCGATAAAGACAGTAAATAATTGGTTGGCCTAAATATAGTAGCAATTAATACTATTGGTTGTAATAAACATAAATAAAAATGTTACCATTATTTTCAGCAGTTTTTCCTTTTATCCTGCAGGACTGAATGGCTGTCTGGAATACTTCACCACAAATTTCAAGTTCAAAGGTCAGATTTAAAATTTCAGAAGATTTCAGCACAACATCAGTGCAGCTGCCACCACTAGACTTTACACCGTTCTTATATATGACAGAAGTGCATGGCTCATTACCAGAGTGACAGCATAATCTAACCTTGGATGCTGTTAATTTTGAATTTGGCCAACAATCTTCATGTGTTAATATTTCGCCATCTGCTGAAAGTGTGCTTGTAGTTTTATCTAAAGCTGAAAAATAAGAATATAAATGGTAATTTTAACCAATATAATACACAATAAAAAATATCATACAATCAAACTTTACTAAAGAATACAGATGCTATTTAAAATTAATTTTGTTTTAATCATGCAATTTTGAAAAATCGCATAACCCAATCAGTATGAATGAGCTTTATATAGAAACAATATGTATCAAATATTACAATAAAGAAAACCAAATGAAGGGACATAACATTAATAAATCTAGTTAAAAATATTAATATGTGCATTATGAAATAGAGGAACTTTATGAATTTGTGACTGAATGTGTATAGCAAAGTATGTGACTTAAGTGTAACATACAAAATAAGCAATCCTTGATGCAGTTTTATATGATAGGTGCACATGTATTTTACATCAATATTTATTAAAATATATCATGTTTTAGGTTTTGTATTCAGTTATCTGAAAGAAAAATTAACAGCTGAATTAAGTAAAAAATATTGTGAAATATTCAAGCCAACTATATATTTAAATATCAATATTAATATGAAGTATCAATTCAAATTATATGATTATATTCTGTACCTGTGTCTACCTTTAGCATAGAATGAACACTTTCTGTCAATATTGCTATGTGAGTATCAAATACCTGCTTCCATGTATTCCAAATGCATTTTAAATTGACTTTAGAAATGGAATGTTAGTCTTCTCTGAAGACAAGTTAAAAACTTGGAGGAATTATAGATAGATGCTTTTAAGGGAAATTATATTTTATATATTTAATTGTAGATAAAATAGAAGTCAAAATTAAAGTAGGTAAAACAATTTTTTTTTACTTCAATAACTAAACAAGTAGTAATAACAGCCTAGGCTTTACTGTATAAAAATAAACTATTTGAAGCTAATTCACATGATACCTCATTACTGAGGTAAACAGTGAAGGTCTAGGGAAAGCCTCTCTGGATTTTATTTCAGTCTTTTAAATTATTAGCCACTTAGAAGCACTTTTTTCATCCCAGCATATTAATGACAGCAGGTGTTAAATTATAACATGATCAGCTTTAAACACAGATATTCTTTAGTAATTATACATCAGTTGTGTATAGACAATGAAACCTAAATATATTATTGACAATAATAAGTTGGTAAATTATATGAGATTAAATGAATGCATGATACAATAGTTTATTGCAATACAAGCACAGAAATAAATGCATTGTTTTTAAGGGAATTGGCGGGTGATGAAAACCAAAATAACCAAAATGCTGATTTCTAAACCAAATATTATAATATTTAGCATATGGTTATCTTAGTTAGCATATGGCTGCCTTCACCAAGGCAACTGCAGAAAGTTTTTGCCATTTTTTATTTTCAGACTTAACTCTTACTTATAACTATATGCTAGATATGATAGCATTATGTTTATAAATATGCAATTTGGTTATTTTGGTTTCTATCACCTGCTCATGCCATTAAGAGTAATGGCAGCAAACTTACAAATCATTTCTGGTAAATTTTTAATAGTGTTTTTGTTGAGACCACCATCTGAAGTCTGTATTATAACTTTTATTTCAGCTTTACTGTACTGCATTCCTGCAGTTCTGTTGATTGTGAAATGTTTAATGTCACCTGAACAGTCGTTGCAGTAGCAGCTATCAGGTGTGACCTTATTTTCTGTGGCAGACGTAGAAATAAGGCAAATCTGCAGTAAGAATGTTTTAAAAGATCATCTTCTTAAGTAATTATATAAACTGTGTCAATGAAAATTAAATACATATTTTAATATTTGCTAATCATAAAAGTGTTTATTTAGGCTTATATTATTTATTATTAAAGTAGTAATGCCAGGCTTAAATTATTTACACATTCAATTTTAGAGAAAAACTAGTAGGTTTTCCTGCATTACAAGTGATCAGTAATTTATGAGAAGCCTACAGTATGAATGTATTTAAAATAATGTATACTATAATTAGAGCTGAAATACAATACATGATACATACACAACTCCAAATGTGAGCTTCCAGTACACAAATACAAACAAGGATTTGGTAACATAAAACTAAGATGATTGTATTCATTTAAAATAAATATAATTTAATAAAGTAGAACCTTTGCATTTTATTTTATTGTGTGCATCACTAGTCAAGCGTGATTAGTTGTTTTGTTTAATTTTACACAACCACATGAGTATACAAAGTGTAGTAAAGTATGCTACTATTTGAGACCAGGTGAGCTGTAGGACTTATGAAGTAGTTATATGTTACAAATTAGTGCAGGGTGAACTAAGGTAAATCTGATATGCTTAAACCTGAATTCCTATAATTAAGTATAATTGTGTTATTGCTGTCTTATCTCAACAATGTGTCTGTGCCTGCTACAGTTTTTAGCTATGATGACATCTGAAAAATCTCCCCTTCATGTGTTCCATCATTTCCACAACAAATGATCTCAGTATAAATGATCTCATGGACAAAAGATATCAGGACAAAATATATTATGACAATTGGTATCATGGACAAATGATCTCAGACAAAATATCTCACAGCAAAATATTTTTAGTATTTGGGATTATTTTTGTCAATTTTAACATTTGTTTTTTGTCAAATGGATTTTATTTGCTTTTTCCGTACACATGATAATTGAGAGATATAATAAATGAATACGTTAAACATAACCTTTTTTAATAAATGTTACATAAAATGTATAAGCCTTGTACATTCTTTTAATTTACAAAATAGAATCAGTGATTTTTATTTTAAAATGTTTTTTTTTAAAAGAAGTTAAAGCCTGTGAGCTATACATCTGATAAATACAAATAACATTTTTATTTACCTCTTTAAAATAATTTGTGCTGGAAGGTCGGGCTTGTACAATTACTGTTTTATCCCATGAGCTACCAGCATCAGAGAAATCAACTGAACCATTCATGACAAAATAATCTTTGTTTATAATGAGCGAGCTCTTGCATTTTGAGTTGCTGTACTGCTTGTTATACTCATCAAGATTTATATTGACACCTTGTTTGTATAAAGTAAAATATTAATAACATAAGGTAATTATAGTCACTAATTTTATTTTAATTGTAGGATTAGTCAAAGTGTGACTTTTGTAAATTAACAAAGTAAACAACAGGTATAGGATCAATAATAAAGTATTGATAAAACAAAATGCATCAAAATGACAAATCAATATTTAAATCCATAGTAAATCTATAAGTTATGATTTTTACTAATATATCATTATTATCTCAGTTGAAGGTTAAATCTGTGTTGTGAATAAAATAAACCGGTAGTGATCTCCCCTAAACTTTCTCGAATATTCTTATCAAACTAAAACACTACGGGGATGGCAACCCATGTCTAAATACTTAAACTTTTAAAAATAGAATTGAATAGAATCTCGTAGAAAAAAGAATTGCGCACAAATACAATGCCCAGTTTTTCCGACTTGGTTACACATAAAATGCTGAAATTTTGATAAATCTGCATTTATTATTTTTTCCCGAATAAAATAAGTACCCTATACTCAGTATATGATGAAGTACTAAGGTGTAAAACGATAAAAACTGTCAAAATTTCATGTGATTTTTGTGCATGATTACAATACTTCCTAGTCACCTGTTTTTCACATTACTGGTCGCGGCGATTTTACGTACTAAAACTAAAATGATAGATAACCGAGAATTGTTACATTATATTTTTGTAATATGATCATTAGTTTAATAGTTATAGTTAGTTTTAGAATACTAATTTTGTTCTAGAGCTAGGCTAGATCTATTAATCTATTTTAATAGTTATTAATACTAGATTATAGATCTAGATCTAGATTCTAGATCTAACATCTGTTAATTATTTTTAAAATAATAATAGAGTAGCCTACCCCTAAATAATAATAATTAATAATAATATTACTATTAGGTAGGGCATATAATATAATAATATCCCTAATACGGCTATTCACAGTCGACTGTGAATAGACACTTCGTTATAGATTATAGATGATTCATAATAAATATATGATATTCATATCATAGCCGCTAGCGGCCCATAGAATAGATAATTAAATTAAAGCCCTCTAATATTAGATGTATGGACCTCGACCAGTTGTAGAAAATAAGTGACAATCAAATAATTTTAATAAGGAACTTACAGTTTATGATTAAAATTTGTAATAGTAGTACATCTAGTAATAGAAATACAGTCTCCATTCCTGATTCTAGAATCTAGATTATCGTTTGTAAAAGTTTCTCTTTACTCTTTAGGAACTATTTTTAGAATGGAATTCTGATTATTAATAATACTAGGGCCTAATACTTTGAAATTGGGTTGGGGGGGGGGGGGGGGATCATCCATAAATGACGTCACACTCGTAGGGGAGAGGGGGGGGGGTCCGTAATTTTGTGACGATGTGTGACGGGGGGGGGGGGTTCAGATGTTGCGACGTCACATTTTTGCACTATAAAAAAGCAATGTTAGAAAACGAATTTTAGACATTATTTCGCGTTTTAGATAACTGTTTTAATAAATTGTAATAGTTTAGACAAGATTTTGGAAAAATATCGATGTTTTGAAAAAAATTCCACTGCAATTTTGAGGGGGGGAGGGGGGGTTGTAGGTTGAGGTGTGACGTCATTTTAGGGGGGGGGGGGAGTGAGTCTGGCTTTTTGTGACGACGTGTGACGGAGGGGAGGGGGGTAGGTAAAAATCGTCAGAAGAAGCGTGACGTCATTTATGGATGACCCCTTGGGTAATGGTTTTGAAACTAATGGGTTTGGTAAACGTGCACAAGGTGATTTAATGCGAAAGGTTACAATGTTATTACTAAGTTTACAGGGTAAGTTACACACTAGCCAGAGGCGTAGCGACCCTTCCCGGCGCCCGGGGACAAACTTTAAATTTGGCGCCCCCCCCCCCCCGGGAGTTAATTTTCGATTTGCACCCTCTTCAAACTTTCGATTTGCACCCCCTCAAACTTTCGATTTGCACCCCCCCCCCAAACTATAATTTGTTTTTACAACCCATTTTGGCGCCCCCTAAGGTCGGCGCCCGGGGACATAAGTACCCCCCGCCCCCCCCCCCCCCTCCCCCTCCCCCTCCCCCCGCCTCGCTACGCCTCGGCCAATAAAAAAGAAGACAAGGAAGTATGATATTAAGGTCGCGCAGTGTCTTGTAACGATGTAGACTTATTGAGTACATGTGGGAAGGCTCGAAATGCATACCTACCTATGTTTATGTTTTTATATGCACTGACTGTGAGCCCACAAACTTTTTTTTTCTCGCGCAGATTAGAAAACGTGAGCGAGCGAGAAGCGGACGACAATGTTTAGAATTTTGAATATAAAGATATAAATATTAAAGAAATAGCCTGGCCCATCTTTCGACACGGGATTTTTCTCTCACTGTCAAGAAAACGAGAGCGGGCGGTCATATAATGTTAAATTTTTTAATATAGCCTATAATACATAGAAATAAAAATGAAAACTATATTTAAAAAAGAACAACGCACAACGTTCGTAATATATCAGCTTCTTTAGCTAATAACTATAAAAAAAAACAACCCAAAAAACATGTAACACATTTTTTGTTCGCGAATTGTGATTCCGCAGGTATGTCTCGCATTTTCTTCTCGCAGTTTACCGCCTCGCCGTTTAGCGTCTCGAAATTTCCCAACACCAGCAGTTGGGTCTATGGCTATTTTTACTGAGCACTAAAAATAGATTTCGGGAATTCAAAGAATTGTTGTGCTTTCGGTTTTCGTTAAGGTTGCCAATGTGCTGTTGCGAACAAACATATTTTTTTCGGAGGGAATTAAATAATTTGTATCCATATGAATAAGTATATATATATATATATATATATATATATATATATATATATATATATATATATATATGTATATATATATATATATATATACACAGAGGCGTAGCTAGGGGAGGGCGGGGAGGGCGGCCGCCCCGGGCGCCGACCCTAGTGGGGCGCCAAAAGGGGTTGAAAATAATTTTAAAACCTCATTTTAAGCTGCAGTTTTTAATTATAAACAGTCAAAGTAAAGAAATTTAACGGCTGAGAGCCTTTGCATACTGATTTAACTGTTTTCTACCTTGATTGGGTAACTGTAAAACGTATATCTTTAAGAAACAGCGACCGGAAAAACCGCTTTCCAGCTTCCTAGATTGGGGGGGGGGGGGGCGCTTTTTCGAAGACTAAAATCGGAAAAATTCACACCGGAATAAGGAATAAATAACCGATATTACTCAGAAAAGAAACCCATTGTAATAAAGCGTATTTTACGATTGTGTAACATAAAAAAGAGTAAGTGACGTTTAAAATCCGCTCTACCATTTTTGTCCAAGAAGGATATGTACTGGATCGGTGACTAGATAACTCTTAGAAAAGAAATCAATTGTATTAACACTTAATGTACGATTTCACTACCCAGTTTGATAAGTAATAACGCGACTAGTTCTTTGTACGATTCTTACAATTCTCTCAACTTCATCGAGAGAGATCTGATACTTTTACTTGATTGCATTACATCTTAACTGGATCACTTCATTAAAGAGAGATAAATATCACGGATTCTTGTATCGCTATCCGTAAAATAGCAGACTGTCGGAGCGGGTGGATGGGAAGAGACACTCTTTGCCAAAATTTTAAGAGAGAAGAAAATTAGTATATTGTACTGAATTGATAATTTTTTTTTTCCATAACACTTTGGTCAACCTAACTGATAATTTAAAACTGTAATATAGGCCTACTATTATCGAAATTGTTCTAAAGACACGACCAAAAGTAGACCAAATAAGATTGCAGCTTCTACAAAGTACACTCTAAAGCAGTGGTTCTTAACTTTTTGAAGGTACCGAACCCCACCAGTTTCATATGCGCAACCACCGAACCCTTCTTAATAGTTGTATCGTCCACACTGACAAAATCCGATCTCGAATCATATGAGTCGGCTGTGTGTCTTGACCTCCGCCGAAGCCCTGAGACTGAATTACCCAACCTCTCGGGTTCGATGGAACCCACTGTTCTAAACTCTCGATTTTCTTCTTTTTATTCGTTTCGGCTTCATAAGGAACATAGGCGTAGGCAACACTTTGTCAAATTACTTGATTTTTATGAAGGTCGAACCCTAATAACCTAGCCTCCCTCATCTCTATTTCAAACGATTTCCTTCAGGACTTATTTTGTCTCCTTCTCTTCCTCTTTCCCCGTGGATTTTCACACAAGCACCTGCATAGTGATGTTATTTTTTGCCTTTCTCATATTGTGCCCTAACCACCACCTTTTCATTCTCCACTGTCTTTATCCTAGCTCCGAGCCATACCGTAAAAGATACATCATATTCAGCTATAGATCCCGATTGAATTTTGTTGACAATGCATTTGAATTCCACATCGACTTAGAATGTTAACACGCATTTTATCGCTGCTGATTCTAATTAGAACGTCATGGGCGTCAGCTATTATCATTAAACCGGTTATTACAGCTTCTTTAACCAGTACAATTAGTTCTGAATTTGTTGTTGACTGTGAGCGAGAAGGCAGCGCACATCTGATAAATCCAAGACTTCGAGCTGTTGTGTCCGTTTGGATTCCAGTTTGTTTCCTCTAGCTTATTTCATTATACAATCAACCAGTCAACGAAATACCCATATCGTATTCCAATGTGTACAATAATTCGCTATTGTATGTCAATTGTATGACCTTAATCTAACAAACATATATATATATATATATATATATATATATATATATATATATATATATATATATATATATATATATATATATATATATATATATATATATATATATATATATATATATATATATATATATATGGGGGGCGCAAAACTGAAAGTTCGCCCCGGGCGCCTGGAGGGGTCGCTACGCCTCTGTATATACATATATATATATATATATATATATATATATATATATATATATATATATATATATATATATATATATATATATATATGTATATGTATATATATATATATATGTATATATATATATATATATATATATATATATATATATATATATATATATATATATATATATATATATATATATATGTATATGTATATATATATATATATGTATATATATATATATATATATATATATATATATATATATATATATATATATATATATATATATATATATATATATATATATAGGTCAGTGGCGTAGCGAGGTCGGGTATCACCCCCAGGTCAGGTGTCACACCCCAGAGAGGCAAACTTTAAATTTTAGATTTGCACCTCTTAAAAGACTATTTAACACTCGAATTAATCACTTAATTAAGTGGAATTATCATTTTTCTATATATTTTTTGCGA